TGGTAGTCAGAACGTGCTGATAATGGACCCCAGTTCTACAGGAACGATGCAGCGGATACAGAGTGAAAAGAGCATCCTGGATGAACCAGACTCTCCTCTAGAGGTTAGCCTCATGAAATGATACATGTTTTTTTCTGCCTTTTATGCTTCATGATATTCTGGAGGTAAATAGACAGACATTCCATTAGATGTTAGGAAACTACATCAGTTACAGTTACAATTTTAAACATAACCAGTATCTTTTAGCGTTGATGCGTTGCAAAGTTTTTATCAACTTACATCGCCGTTCAGCACCACAGACAGCGACACCTTAATTTTTCAACTTCAGCATTCCAGAGTCCTTTTCATTAAGACTGGACTTAATTTCTGTAATTCGTGTCAGCTTTAATTTAGGATATATTTATTTTATAATTGCACAATGTAATTTTTACTAAGATGTTTCAATATATAATTAAACGATATATGCTGTAAGCTGCAGATATCCTAAAATCTTTAAATTTAGGATACTCGAGGTTTAGATGAGACTTAATAGCGTGGCTTTACACTGAATTCATTGTTTTTGAGAATGAATGTTGTAATTTGTATTTTCAACTCAAAGGGTCGCTGTTGGCAAGGGTGTTGCGATTTGGCTGGATGTTTTTTATTCCTCTGTGTCTTCCCTTTTGCGTGGAAATATTCGACGTACAGACAGAAAGACTGTTCGGGTTTATAAGAAGCACTGCAAGGAATTCTATACCTGCTTACACCGTTTGATTCTTATAATTGGAATGCGAACGATTTTTTTTCTGTCTTCATATTCTCTCCATGACAAATGCTTCTTTTTTTAGTGGAGAAGGAACGGAAATCGGGTCTTGCAGAACAATGAGACGGCAAGTACTGTTGTTTCTCTCAGCCCTATGTCTCAAATACGTGCTCGGGCAGGTCAGCTACTCCATTCCCGAAGAAATGGCCAAAGGCTCTGTAGTTGGAAACATAGCTCATGATTTAGGTTTAGATCTTAAAAGGTTGAAATCAGGTAACGCTCGCGTTTACACGGGCGGCGGTGTAGAATACATCGGGCTGAATAAAGAAAGGGGGGTCCTGCTTGTCGAGCAGCGGATAGACAGAGAGGCTTTATGCGGAGAGACGACGCCTTGTGCCTTACATTTCCAGTTAATTTTGGAAAATCCAATGGAACTGTTTCGGGTAACAGTGGAGATTACGGACATAAATGATAATACCCCCACGTTTACCAATTCAGAAAAACGTTTCGAAATTAGCGAGTCCGCTGTGATAGGATCGAAATTCGTGTTAGAGAAAGCAGTAGATTCCGACATAGGCATGAATGGTTTACAACAGTACTCACTTGCTCCTAGTGATCATTTTGTATTAAAACTAGAAAGTCAGCCAGACGGAACTAAAAAGGTGGAAATGGTTCTACAGAAGCCTTTAGACCGAGAAAAGAAGGATTATTTGTCCCTGCTGTTAACTGCCATGGATGGAGGAGAGCCGCAGATGTCAGGGACAATGCAGATATTTGTCACTGTATTAGATGTGAACGATAATGCACCGACATTTGCCAAACCGTTATATAGAGCAAAACTGCAGGAAAATTCTCCTAAAGGCACCAGTGTTACAACTGTAAGTGCATCTGATAAAGACATCGGTTCAAACGGAGAATTATCATATCTGATATCTACAAGCAAACGTGTTCTATCTGAACTGTTTAATATCAATCCAAAGACTGGTGAAATTATCCTAGTCGGGGAAATAGATTATGAAAAAGCAAACTCTTATCAAATTGATATTGAAGTTGTAGACAGCGGTGGGCTCTCTGATTCAGCGAAAGTGATAGTTGATCTCATTGATGTAAATGACAATAGTCCTCAAATAAACATGGTTTCTAAATCAGAGTCCATATCAGAGAACTCACCAACAAATACTGTAATTGCTATGTTAAGCATAAACGATCCAGATTCCGAGAATAACGGGAATGTTGTGTGTGATATAAATGATAGCATTCCCTTCAAAATACAGACTACTGTAAATGGGTTTTATACCCTAGTTATGGAGGTTGCTTTAGACAGAGAAATGGCTTCGCAATATAATATCACTGTGACCTGCTCTGATGAGGGAGTGCCCTC